CAGCATGGAAGCTTCAGACCCCCCTGCTACGGCCGAGATGGATTACGAAACCCCCCAGTCTCTGAATGTGGTGGACGAAAGCGGAAGAGACTTTGGCACAGGTACCTGGAAGCGGGTTCGCCCGACAGGGGCTCGTCCTGGGCACGGGCCGAGGGGATGGTAGGGACTAGGGCTGGTGGGGCAGAAACTTGGGGATCCGCACCACCCAGGGATGCCTGCCCAGGGTCCTAAAGCAGCCCCAAGGGTTGGGCTGCCATTCCCATCCCTTCTGGGAGGTGCCCACATGGGGAGGGCAGTCCTAAGAGACTTGGCATCTCATTTCTCTGGGGAGGCACCCCCCCCTTGCAAATTTCGTTGTCTGGTCCTTGAGGGGTTGGTGGTCTTCAGAGACCTCCTCCTCCTCCTCGCGCAGCCTTTCCTTTGCCGAAGTCGTCCTTCCGGCGCGTCTGCCCCACCAGCCGTCTCATCCTGGCCTTGATGGTGTTCTGTGGCACCTTGATCCTGTCGGTCAGTATCCTGGGCATCCAAGGTGAGTGCGGCGTAAGGGCGGGTCGGGTGCTCTCCCTGTCCGTGAGCCGAGACGTGGGTGTGCAAGGCCAATGGGCCGTGCGCAGGCGAATGGAGGAGGAAACGTGTGGCAGACCTGGCGTGCAAGGTGGGAAGTGAAAGGAGAGGAGACGTGTGGGATGGCGCATGTCTGAAGCCCAAAGCTGTTGGAACCCCTTATCTGATGTGAATGCAGACAGCCGTGCTGTCTTTTTTTTAACCTGGGTTTCAGATGACGTGGGAATCGGCCAGAGCCAGAGGGGCTGTTGCGCGTGGTCTAGTCCAACTCCAACTAGGGTGGGCCTCCCAGGGAAGGAGTGCTGAGTTCTCCCTGCAGGGTTGGGGTCCTTTGCTTCACTCGCCAAAGGTTTCTCCTGGCTTTGAGCAGGGTGACCTGGCCCTGCCGGGATCTTTGCCCCGGGCTGAGGCTGGCTTTCTAAAGCAGGCAGCCCCATGCAGATAGCACGGCTTCCTTCTGTGAACCTGTCTTCCCGGGTCTCCATGCTGGGAAAACAGCGCCAACCTTCGCAGGACCCCCTAGAGGGAGGTGGGCCTTTTACTTGGTGTGGCTGTATGAGAGCTGCTTTGGAATCACATTTGCCTTTTTTGCAGCAGCATCGCCCTGCTGGCTTTCAGTTTGTGATTCTGCTCACAAGGATTGCTGCCCAAGTCAGATGAACTCCTTCCTTCTTCTGTGATTTGATTTCATCTGCATTATTATACTCTTATGCCAATCCACCCTTTGCACTTGTCGGTAATAAATGGGATTCGGTTAGTTTCAGCCCAAGGCTCTCTTCTATTTTTTCAAACTCATTTCAGCTTTTATGCAGCTCTTCTGAGGTGTTGGCTGTCCCTCCCTGAGGTGTATCATCTCCAGGGCTTGTGAGGATTCCCCATTTGCCTCTTCTGTCTGCAAAATGGGTGGGCGGCCTGGGTTCAAATGTTGTGTGCAAAGTGAGCAAGGGGATTCTACGGCGAAATGCCAGAAAGTGTGAGCAACTAAGAGGCATGAGTGTGCAGAATGGAAAAGGGGGCAAGCCCTTGTACCAAAGGAGGGGGGTCAGCTTATACGACCCGGGTATAAGGTTATCGGTTCCCCCTCCCTCTGTGCTGCTCCCTCCCTCCCGCTCTCACTTCCAGGCATTCAGTTCAGCAAAAATCTCCAAGAAGCTCGGAGGGGGCTGCAGAATTTTAACAAGACGGTCAAGCTGGGGGTCGGCAGTCTCAAGGACAAAAGTGAGTTAAGGAGCCAGGCGGGTGAGAAGCAGCATGAGGACACACACACCCCTGCCGTGGCTGCAGGCCCCTCTTCCCCAACCCAGCCCCATCCCTTGGGGTACCCTTTCCCAGCTGGGAATGGCAGGAGGCGGTCCATCGTCTGGGGAGGGCACCTTGTTGGAAAAGGGTGAGCAAAGTTTCCTGGAGGGGGCATAAGAAGAGGGTGGGAAGGCTGCTGGTGCAATTCCTGCCAGGCTCCTAGGGGCCCAGTCGGCGGAAGGGGTCCTCCTCCTCCTCTCCCCGTCCTCAACTTGAGAAGGGGGACGCTTGGGGGACCGTGGGAATTGGCATTGCTGTGACCGGACCTTCCCTCGCGTTGCCCTCTTCAGGGAACAGCACCTGGTGGAAGCTGGCTACGCTGGAGAAAACCCTGGAACAGGAGAACGACCAGCTGGAGAAAGGTCCGCATTCTTCACCCGGGAAGGGCCTTCTTTGCCACTTCCAGCTGGGGCGCGGTGGTGGCGGGGCCTTGGGGTCCCTGCAAAGGAAGGACGGTGCTTCGATCTCAAGACCCCTGGCAAGACGTCTGCTTCAGAGAAATTCCCCCGGGGGAGATGGGTGGCATATCAATTGGATAGACAGACAGACAGACAGACTGCAGCCACCAAAGTCGGGAGGGGTCTGGGCACATCTTTTCCGACTAGCAATTTGGATTAAAAGGCAGGCACTTTCACGAGCTGCCTCACCTGGACCTGCATCTGTCAACCGACCTGTCTCCCCCTCCCTTCCCCCACCCCAGTTTAAACCCCCCACCAGCCCAGCCCCTCCAGGC